AAAGTTAACCAAATAAACCAAATTGAGAGCTCATCAAAATATGGATAATTTAATGCATAAGTGTGCGAAAAATTGTGCTAGTTTTATAACAGATAGTCAATGCCAAGGACGAGTACACACAGTTCCCATTGTCATTGTAACTGGAGCGAACGTTGCGTATGCGTAATGTGCGTTTGTTATTATGAATATGCATGCAAATGAGCGCTACTCTACGTTCGATTTATGGCCTGTATGTATGTATGTATATATTGGCATATATAAATTTATATAATTTACCTTTTCGTTACGCGACAAAAACTCCCAAATGGGTATAGCCGAGGCTGAGCTCATTTGGATGGCCACAGCGCTGATCAGGCAGCTGGCCAAGATGAGTCTCGCAGCGTTCATCATGTTGTTGCTGTTGTTGTTGTTGGTGTTGTTGTTGTTGCTCGCTGTGGCAAGGGTTGCCTGATTGCCTTTGATCCAACCGGTCACCAGTGCCAATTGCACACCGTTAACGTTTGCTGCGCGTTGTTTGTGTAATACGCGTTGCCAGACTTTCTATTTTGACTCAACCCAAAAACTAAACGTATTAAAATTTAACACCAAAAGTCGAAAAACTTTCTCAACTTTAATTTGTGCTCTTTGTTTTCGCACTTAATTAAATTAAAATGAACAACAAGCTTTACTAATTTTTGTTTTATTTGTTTGTTTTCTTCTGTCTCGGCTTAAAACGCAAAAGCTCGTTTCACATTTCACACCCACAGTTGAAATTCCTCACACACACACACACAATTATGTATACACGCAAGCAGATGTCTTGCCAGTTGTGAACGCGACGGCGACTCGTCTTCAAATGAAGCAACAGGCACCGGCGCACACGTATTTATGCTCTGAGCGCCACTGTGTGGGTGATGTGTGCGTGTCACGTAGTCACTAGCGCGCACTAGTATTGTGCCTATGAATATTCAAGCAATAGCGATGGCTTGCGCTCTAAAGTATCGACACGAGCGCAGCTCTAACTGAGAGCGTAGCTTAGGAGAGCGCATGCAAGCAGGTGATTTCGCTCTTACTCGCACTCTCGCATTTGAAGCGGCTCACACACATACACATACATGGCAAACTTGTTCTACGCGCTTGCAGTTAAAATAGAAATTGTGAAAAACAACAACAACAGCAACAAAAAACATTGCAAATTTTCAAAGTCAAGTTTACAGGCCTTATACCAAAAGCAGTTGTGCTTCGAAGTGTAATTAATTAATATGCATTTATTTGTGGGAATTGCAATTCAGTAGCTTCGGTTGTTTGTTGTTAACACAAAATGCCAAATATTTAACAATCAAACGCTAATTAAACCAAATAAAAATATAGTCTGCCATACACACATACATATGTAAACATATGTGTATGTGTGTATGTGCAGTATTATGACGGCGGCGCCAAGCGGAGCTCCTCTTTTGTTTAAGCGTTAATTTTCGTGAAATTTTTTGAATCGAAAAGTAAAGAATGACATAAATAATAATAATAATAGAAATCAATCTGAAAAGGCTTGGAATTTGTGTCGCCACAAGCTTGTGCGATTACACAAAACCAGTTTGAAAACATTTGTAAGCACGCATGTTTACTAATTACTCAAGGATGGAATTTCCTAATTGTAAAATCACATTGAATTAAATTTACAAGCTCATTGCGCTGCCGATGAATGTAAATTAATTGTATTGAACATTCTACATGTCAAACAAACTTCTTTTCAACATGCCAAATGGCGGCTCCTTGGTACAGTCACCACAAATGTAAATGAAAGCCACCGAAAACCGTTAACCATAAGTAACGTTAATGCATTGCAAAATGACAGGGGGCTGGCTCTTTCCGGTCTCTTAATGATAAGAGATGGATGGTCGCTGAAAGCTTTTAAGGAGCTCAGTTCTTCAAAATTTGTTATATAATTTCTTGTTTTATTTAAACCATTGCGCACGCAAAGATACAAAGACTGCCATTAGCCGAATACACATAGGGTATACACAGGCGCTAAGCACTTCTATATACCCTACATTCACACTTGTCGCTGATCTACAAACGGTTATACTCCATAAAGTTGCGATTGTAGCGATTGTCGCTGCCATACAAATCCCTATCGTCCTTGTTGTACAGCATAAAATTGTTGCCAAGTCCATCGTCTGAGCCAAAGATCGGTATATAGCTGTTGAAGTTGAGATCCTGCTTCAAACTTTGGTCTGGATCGCGTCCTAGGTGTATGACCTTGGCGTATAGCTCCGAGTCGGCCTGCAGGGCACGATCGAAGTCCTTCCAGTGCACGAATTTGACCTGTTCGGTGGGTATAGCATTTCGATCCAGTAGCTCAAGCAGCGTATTCGAATTAACCGGCTGCACAACGTTCAGCTCGCGTTCCACATGGCCAGCGCCGCCATTGCCGGGCAGGCGACGCTTGCTGAGCTGCGGCTGAACCAAGTCCATGTCCATATCCCAAAGCCAGGCTAGCAAGGGTGTGACTGAGGCCTGAAGAGTAAGAAACTTTAGTTGCAATTTGGTCGGAGACTATAACTTTACTTACTTGGGGATCGCTGCGCCCAATGCGTGGTATGGTCTTAATGTTCTTCATGGGAAAACCTTCGCTACGCTTGCCCAGACGTGGCACGTTTTTGGTGATCTTCAGAAAGAAGCCAGGACTCTCATCGGCATGAGCCGAGCCCCCGAGCGCAGCCAGAAGTAGCACAGCGTACAACAGGATAGTGGGTGAACTCATGCTGCTGGCCGCTGTTCAACTGTGCCAGGTTTAAGGCTCGAAGGCATTTTTTATATAGAAATGTTACCCACATACTATTGCTTAGGCGTATGCGGGCGGCAGCTGCTTAAAGAATTTGCATTATCGATCAAGAGCACAATTGACCTAATTACATAATGAACAAATGACAATTTATAAGTTAACATGCGTGTGTGTAGACAAGTGTGTATTTAAATATAGAAATAAATAAATTGTAAAATTAAGGAATGCTTGTTTGCCATTTGTCGCCAGATCAGATCAACGAACTCTGCGCCCATTGCGCCACTTCCGTGGGCAGTGCCTGATAGCGCTGCACTGCCTGCTGTATCTGTCCATATGTCAGAGCCATTTTGTGCATTTCAAACTCCTTTTGCAGCTTGCCCATTCCGCTGTTGGATAGGGGCATAATCAGCTCCACAATGCGCAAATGCTCGAAGGCTTTTAATACTACGGCGCGCTCCACGCCCTGCATGGTCGAGGACACCTTGGCGAACTTGGAGAAGCGTGCAAAGATGATTTCAAAATTGAATGGATCTCTATCGTAAATGCTGGAATGATGTTTTATGGTTATTATCAGGCACAGTTCCAGCACTGAGAGACCGCAGAGCAGTTCCACTTTGTCGTCGCATTCGTATTGAGCGGCCAGCGCTGTGAGCTGCTCGCCCGTAATGTGTGGAGCCTCCGGTTTCAGTTGTGCCACCAGACGAAATATGAATGTCTTAAGGAATGCCTCGCTTATATCGAAATCGTAGAGCATTTGCAGCGTTTTTTGTGCAGCTGCCGATTTGCTAAGTTTCGCAATCTGTTTGTTCCAGTTCTCAGTATGCTTCTTATCAAAATTGTACTCGATTCCATCGAAATGATTACGTTGAAAGGTAAATGCTTCCGATTTGAACAGGTCCAGGCTGTCAACGCGATCAGCAGCTGCTTGCAGCTCCTTGCTGCCGGGTATGCTCATTAGCTGCTGAAAGAGCGCCACATACTCCTCGAATTTGTGGGCACTGGGAAAGAGGAACACTTGTCTGTGAAAACAAGAATAGATAACGCATGTAAGTGGATACTACAAACATTTGAAGGCCACAATCACCTGTGCGAAAACCGAGATTTGACGCGCTTCTCGAGCAGCTCTATGACATCTAGGCGACAGGTCACGCCCAGCACACAAATTGGCGCCTGCGCTGACTGCGATACATCAAACAAATTGTATAGCAGGGTTTGGTTGTGATGTGTGCAAAAGAGATCGAATTCCTCCAATACGAAGACAACGCTTTTGGATTTCTTATCGCCCGCCTTGAGGCACTGCAGCAGAAAGGCCAGATTCTCAGCAAATGAACCAAATACCTTGCCGTCGGCCGCATTCTCCAGGCGCATTTGCACAGTGATTGACTTAAGAGCAATGCGATCGTCTGTGTGCAGATTTCCATCCAGGTGCACAATGAGCGTGTTGTCCACAAACGATTTGTTTTCCATCAAATCCGTGAGCACGGCATTTATTAGCTACGTGATAAGTTAAGATGTTAAGCAGCATATTGGGCGACTGTTATAGCGAGTACTTACTGTGGTCTTGCCGGCGCCGCGCGGCCCTATTAAAAGTAAAGAATTGGATTCGCCCATTTCGGCTGTGCGTTGCAGCAGCTGCCGTACATTGGAACGCTCCGCCTCGTAGCCACGGAGTGTGCTGTAGTCGCGCTGCAGTCGCTCCTTTAGAAAACGACGCGTTTTAATTACCTCCTGCACCGAGTCATGCATAATTTAATTAAAATTGATTTAATCACTGGGCTCGAATTGTGTATGTAGCTTGTTTTGAATAGAAATTGCCGCCAAAATATCAGCTGTGCTAGTGGTGGCATATCAACGATAGTTTTCAACGACGATTGCAAGTGCTGAACGTTCTGGCAGCGGAGCTGTTGCGCAACGGTGTTGGTCAAATAATACAAAGCTTAACGAAACAGCACTTCACTTAACGAACAGCCTTGTCACTATTATAAGATCATTTTACTAAACCAACTTAACGAAATAAGTCTGTGTTTACGGTATAAGTAACCGTTTTGTAACGTTTTGTAACGGACTTAACGAAATTTCATCATATTTGAATTTATGTCGAATTGCTCAGATTGATATCTCTATTAATTCCACATATAATCAACAACTGCAATGGAGCATATAGAGTCATTTTTCATACACATCCAGTACAGATCGATCGTTTAAGCGAAACAGACGTTTATTTAAAGGCCCCGTAATGAGTTTAATGCGTCTGAGTTTAATATTCACAATAATAGGCATAATTGGCGTAAGTCCAAATATAGTTAATATATTTTGTTAAATTTTAGCATTATTTTCCAGATAACTGCCCATGTTGAGTTCAACAATGTAAAGTGCTCGACTAAGAGCCCAGATTTTCTCAATTTCGAATATTGCTTTCTCAAATCCATAAATCGAACCTACAAATATTTGTCGATCAAATGTCATTTCTCTCAGTTGCCCATTACGAATGCTTGGGTAATTTATTTTAAATCACATTTTGAACGGTTTAATAGCTTAATCCAATGTTCTATCTGTTAATAGATGACATACAAGGTTATAAAGCGTGACAGCAGGAACATCTTTGAACGATTTAATGCCACGATAGATGTCTGCAAATTTATGAAAGATCGCGGCAATCAACTTGCCAACATTATATTCAACGCATTTGCAGATTATACAAATATTAATCACACCTGTCCCTTAAATGTGCGTATTTTTCTTGATATTTTTAAAAAACTCAACCAAAAACTCTTTCGTTTTCAGCACGATGTTATATTGGAAAAACTGCCAGTTCAGCATGTGAACAATATGGTAGGGAATATATTTCCTAATGGCCGCTATATATTGAATCTAACCTATTATATATCCCATATTCCTCGATCCGAGGTCATTGTGTACCTAACCAAATCGTAAAATTGTGTAAATGTTGAATTGTCAATTCCTCAATATGTAAACCTGTTTGTAAATTGCCAAAAACAACTCTCAAAATTGTCAGTTTAAAAAAGTTGTTTATGTTACACAGACAATTAAAAACGTAAATCAGAAAATAACAGTAAGAAAAAATAAATAAACATATTCCACAATGCCGCTCGAAGTGATAACCACAGATCAGTTGAAATACCATCGTCTGGTGGCCAACAAGGATAACAGCTCGAGAGATCGTTGGCTAAAGTGTTTCAGCTGGTATCCAGGCAGGCAGAACATCGAGTTCAATCGCGTCGGCCAGATCTACTGCGAGAGCCATCACATATACGGCGAGGAGGCATTCCTGAAGTACGCGCAGCGCCAGCGATTGAACAAGAAGCATTGCTACTCCCATGCCGATGCGGTGAAGATTCTGGAAAAGCAAGAAGAGGACAGTCGCGATGTTAACAGCGAGCCCAAGGTGCCGCCCACCACGAACGCTGAATATGGGCGCTTTAAGCCCACACGAATGCACTATTGCTAAACACGACTTGGAATATATATAACACTTTTCATTCAATAAAACGCACTTCCTGACAAATTGATCTAGAGCCCAAGACATGAACAAAGAGCCAAAAATCGTGCAAGTCGGTCGAGTTTTGACCGAGTAATGGGAGTGGGAAATATTGACCTATATATGGGATATTTGACGGTACGATTTTCACATGAATTTTGGCCCAGAAAAGTGTTGCCAGATTTAGATGCCAAATGATAAGGACCAACTTTATGAAAATCGGTTGAGTTTTGACCGAGTTATGCGAGTGGGAAATTTCGACCTATGTCTATATGGGATATTTGAGGGAACCATTTGTATATGAATTTTGACTCAGAAAAGTGTTGCCAGATTTAGAAGCCAAATTGATCTAGAGGCCAAATAATGCACAAAAAGCCAAACCTTATGAAAATCGGTTGAGTTTTGACCGAGTTATGGGGGTGGGAAATATTGACCTATGCCTACATGGGATATTTGAGGGCACCTTTTGTACATGAATTTCGACCAAAAATACGGTTGCCCGATTTAGATGCACAATTGATCTAGAGGCCAAACCATGCACAAATAGCCAAACCTTATGAAAATCGGTTAAGTTTTGACCGAGTTATGGGAGTGGGAAATATTGACCTATGCCTACATGGGATATTTGAGGGCACCTTTTGTACATGAATTTCGACCAAAAATACGGTTGCCCGATTTAGATGCACAATTGATCTAGAGGCCAAACCATGCACAAATAGCCAAACCTTATGAAAATCGGTTAAGTTTTGACCGAGTTATGGGGGTGGGAAATTTTGACGTACCTATGTCAATATAGGATATTAGCGGGTATACCCCGGGCAATTTACCATTAAGTTCCCATAGAAATTAACTTTTTTTAGTACTTTTTTAAATGAACAAGTGGTGCATTTCCACTTGCAGTTTTTGCCCTGGCGGCAAAATCAGTAAACGTTTAGCTTGGCGGGCTGCACAACAGATGGCGCCAGCGGTCAGCTCAGGGCGCGCAAAATTCAGCCATTTTGAATTTGTTGTGTGTTGTGCTGCTGCGCTAGGTCAACGCCTAAAATTACACCTACGACACCTGAATCCACACACAGCACATGGCTACACCTGTCGCCGGGGCTCAGGTCAGCAATATTTGGTCAAGTGGTTTAGCTATTGGCAACGCCCGACCATATTCAGCTGTCCATCATTATTGGGTAGGGAGCAGAGGGTATTATAATTTTGTAATGTAGGCATCGTTGATCCCATTAGCAATGTATGCGACATGATTAGATCAACGAGCTGAGCTCAGCTGAGTCTCTCAGCTATGCGGGCAAATGCGGACCATATGTTGGAGTAGGTCGAATGGTATAACTAGAACGTATAGCTGCCATAGGAAAGATCGATCGTTAAGTTTTTGGCTGCTTGGCAAGTTAAGTTACTTACAGCATTATTTGCTATATGTCTGAAAGGGTATTGAATCTTCGGCGTAGAGAATAGACATTTTGTTCTCTCTTGTTTTTGCCTAAGTTCCTAAGTCACAGCCTCTACTTCCGTAGACCTGAAACAGTCTGAAAGGGTATTAGATCTTCCACATAACGTATATAAATGTTCTCTCTCTGGTTTTTGCCTAAGCTCCAGACTAGATTCAGCAGTTGTCTATGAAGTCACAGCCTCTGCTGTTGCCGCAGCTCCAGTTGCCAGTTGGCAGTTTTCCATGGAGCCATGTAATTAAGAGATCATCGTGCCCGTCCATCGCTCGACATCGCTGACAATGCAACTTTGAGACGACACTTCGTTTGGCCACTCGAAATCGCGCGCGATTTTGCATGACCGTGCGCATAATTAACAAGGTGAAAATGTCAGTTAGTAACCGGTTAAAAGTCAACTTACAGCGAGTGTTTACTGTAACGCTGCGGGGCTCGGCTCACTTTTTCTCTTCTTCCTTTTTTTTTTCAGTCACGTCTAGTTGAAAAGTTCGCACAGGTAATTAACTGCGACCGCGAGTTGGTTGCACTTTTTTTCTGCAGCACTCAAGATGACTCGACATTTGTTAATGAATACAGTTTTTATATAGGCCTAGCAGACAACCCGTGCCCAGCTCTGATTTGCATTAACACAATATTCTTATCTACAAATTAATAGTAATGTAAATATGCACCTAGGCAAATCAGCTAATCTATTAGTGGGGGGAGACATACTTTTTTAACTTAAGAAAATTTGTTTTTGATATAACACTTATAATCAAAGCATGAAAAGCTGCATGGTTTAATATGAGTTTATGAGAATCGCATAGAAAGGCAACATTTAAAGATACCATTTTTTTTTAATTTTAGGCGCAGCGGAAAGTAAATTTTGTCTCTGTTTCGTACAAGCAAATATATAAACATGCAAGCAATGCATTTAGCGGGCATTACCCGGCCTTGCCCGCGCCAAGTATTATCTATTTTATGCAACAATTAAAATCTCCTCCCACTACTTCAATTGTTGTTGTTGTATAGATGTTTAGACTGAGGCAAAACAAAACGTTTAACTTAATTAACTGATATCTGATTTAGGAAATCGTTATATAAAAGGTGGGAAAATCATTATCATAGATGTCTGACTGAGCTTAAACCGATTGATCTCATTATATATTAAGTAAACGAGTAATAAATACTTTTATCAGCTGAGGCAGAGACTGCAGAAAACTATGCATATATGGAGGAATCCCCTTTTTTACGGAGCATTCCCCTTTATGTATGTGTAGACCAAAGCAGCTGCTGTCGTTGATTATAGAGCTCGGCAAGTGCGAGTATTACCTGGTTTCATAGGCTTAGGTCAATCGAAAAAAAGTTCACTATGCAAATTATTGTAAAAACTTTCAGTCGAAATATGCGAACAAGTGTGGAAATTACACAAAGTGCTGGCCAAATAGTTTTGTGGCCATGGCAAGACCAACTTTCGTCCGGGATCATAAAACTTTAATGGCCCAAGGAACGGAGGCGATGTGGCAAATTAAGAACTGGGCCAAGAGACTGGACTGGGAATGGGGCTGGGGCTGGGGCTGGGAATGGGGCTGGGGCTGGTTGCGTGGAATATACGCGGATCATTAGCCACGTGGCTGCATTCACAGAGAAGTCGCGCTGGACGCGCTTCTGGACGCACAATGTGTGGCATATTGGTTAGGCGGAGGCGTTGCTGCTGCTCGCAGAGGGTTAGTGCGTGGAAGGGGGGGGGGGAAGAGAGGGGGTAGCCGAGGCAGTCGAACGCGTGTGAAAAATCAACGTCGGCGTCCCACAAAATCGCAATGTGCACAATTAAACGGTAGCAATAATTGCTATCGAGTGAAATATAATAATGGCTATAGGATACACACACACAAATACACATATATAAAGATGTAGATATAGCTGTGTGTGTGTGTGTGTGTGTGAGTGCTTTGTCGGCTATATCTTGATTTGGCTTGAGAGCTTTCGATGTGCCTGTTTCTGCGGTTTATTGTTTGCACAATTTTCCCATCGATGCGAACTTTTTTGTTGACTCACGGCCAAGAACAAAAAGAAGCAGCAGCCGCAGCAGCCACAATCGAGCCAAAAAAAACAAAAAAAAAATAAATAAAAACAAGAAGCGTTATAGGGTATAAGCAAAATAAAGTTCGAGCCGTGGGTGTCGCTCGAGCGGGCACTGTAAAAACAAAGGAGAGAGAGAGGGCAACTGCACTTGACGCCTGCCCGGGTCAGAGGGTATATATTTTCGGGCTGAGTGCAAACCCCTTTTTGGCCAAAAGGTAAACAACATTTGCGGATTTCACGCCAGGCTCAGACAGAGCGCATTGCTGATCCTATTAGCCGGCAGCACAATGCCAATGACAATGCCGACTGGCGCCATGTCTGCGCGCAATTACATGAAGGCGGATTAGGGCTCAGGCCAGCCGAAGGCAAAAAGAAAATATATTTGCAAGCAAACGTAAAGGTAAAGGTAAAGGGACTTAATCCAGTTTTGCTTAACTTGTCGCAGGTAGCCCGCCAGCCAGCAACAAGTGTCCGCCGAATCGCAGTCCTTTTGCCCAGTTTTGAGGCTTCGCCTGTTTCTGCTGCCAGGAAAAGCCAAATAAACTAATAAAATATAAAATGTAAAAAAAAAACTGCAAGGCAAGTCTTGATTATAAAAATAAATAAATAAAATGCGGCAGCTCATAAATGTTGTATAAAAAAAGCAGCTCGAGTCTGTTGCCAAATGTGACTTCAAATTAAAACGCCATCGGCATTTTGGCACGCATAGACAGACGCAGACGCAGACGAGGACGCCGCCTCAGACCTGAAGCCCCTCATCAGTCAAAAGAATTGCAAAAAAATTTGGCGAATAATTGAATACTCTTTCCAGTAGAAATATTCTGAAAAAGAAAACCATAATTCAATCATAGAGCGATCGCTTCTTTGAAAGCTATATAGATATTCTGACTGATTGATTGACTGACTGACTGACTGATTGGTTGACTGACTGATTGACAGACTGATTGAATAACTGACTGAATTACATGTCTGATTGACTGAATCATTGACTGACTGACTAAAGTATTGACCTATTGACTCATTGATTGACTGATGGATCGACGGATTAACTAACTGACTGAATTACTGACTGACTGACGGATGAACTGACTGAATTACTGACTGACTGATGGACTGACTGACTTACTAATTGACTAACTGACTGACGGATGAACTGACTGAATTACTGACTGACTGATGGACTGACTGATTAACTGGCTGACTGACTTATTGAATAACTGACCTACTGATTGACTAACTAATTGATTAACTCAATTGACTGACTGACTGACTGAATTATTGACCTATTGACTCATTAATTGACTGATTGATCGACAGATTGACTGACTGACTGATTGACTGATTGACTGATCGGACTGACGGATTAACCGACTGACTGATTGACTGACTGACTGAAGAACTGACTGAATCACTGACTGATTGATGGACTGACTGACTTACTAATTGTTTAACTGATTGACTGATTGACTAACTGACTGAATAACTGACTGACTGATTGACGGTCTGACTGAC